AAAATAACTCCAAACTTTCTAGACTTGCACTTGTATTATTTAAGAAGTGTTTCACATTCATTTGCTGTTCTCTGAGCTGTTGTGGGAAGAAATACGTGGTCAATGTTTTATCTTGTGTTTTATCCTTCCTCGTTGAGGATTTAGTATCATAGAGGTTTTTAGAAGCCATAGTAGATTGACTTTTGTGAACTTTTTATATTCTCCTGCAGGAGCCAGTTGAGTTATTTAATTAGTTATGCCAATACACAGACTTTGTAATTATTTGCTCAGCCTGTTCCTTGATTGAATATGTTCTCTAGACAACAATTTCTCACTTTGTCTGAGCCCCTTTTTTCCTTTCTTATTCCTTTTCTCTTTTTATCTCCTTTTACTCAATCTTCACCTTTTACTTTATGTAAACGGTCCTCTCCTTTTATCATTTACACTTTTAGCATAGCTATTACTATGGCTTTAATTATTTGTATGATACATACAACACTGTCTAGACGAGTAAGTGGGCAATTATCAGTGAGCAATATAAGAAAGAGATAGTTATTACTTATCTTGTGTTGAAACTACCAACGCTTTAATGCTATCCCCTGCAGGTGAATTGAAATACTCCCAATTCACTCCCAGTCATCTCAGCCAGCTCTTATTCTCTTTCTTTTTTCCCCGTTTCCTTTTCTTTTCTTCTCCCCCTGTGATGAACTTGCGTTCAGTCCGAGTTAGTGATTTGTATCCTTTTTTGATTCCACATGGGAATTTATTCACAGATGACTGTAGTCTGATTAGACAGTCTAGACCAATTTCTGGATGGCTTCTTATACGGCTAGATTACACTGTCATAATCCGCTTGAGCCTCGTATCCGTATTCCGACCGCGTCGAGTATATTGGTAAGTTGGTTATAAGTATTACAAAGTATAGTCCCCCAACTGTGAAAAAAGCAGTACTTTTATGAATTATCGCCAGTTTTCACATGGACTTTCTGCTTGTTACTCTAGATCGCCAACCCTCAAAGGGAGAAGTTTGATCATTTGAGGCCCCAGAACGTTGGATCTCATTAGGCGATTTTACTCAAACAGAGCTGCAGCTACTCCATACCGTGCCATAACGGCCGCCCCTCCTCTTCCGTCACAACGCCGCACCCACGTCAGCGTGTCATGACGCCCCACAAGATCCTATATATATTCTTTTAATAGTTATATTTTAGGAAATAACTCATTAAGTGAGTTCCAAGACAGGAAATAATTAAATAGATTGCTATAGTTATGCTCACTGGCTGGAAACCATACTTCTAAGCTCCAACATATAACATATTTGCTGGATGTATTTTTTTATGAGCATAGTTAGGCTTTGATTGAGATCTTAAAACAAAACTTTCATTGAAATAGAATATTTGCTTCTTTAATAGAAGAAATAGTCACCATAGTGATTTGACCTGAGTAGTGTAAAGTGGTTTAATGGATATTATACTCATCTCTGCTCACCAAAAACTGATAGCTGATTCAGCTAGGGAATGACAGCACCAAAGAAAATCCCAGGCTACATGCAGCAACAGACAGCAAAACAGCAGTCCTATTAATTCCATATGAACATGAGTCACTCATTGCACATAATAAAATGCATTTAAATTCTTAAAGTGTTTAGAATCATCCTTAAACTTTCTACAATATTCTATTAAAGGGAGACTCTAAGCACCAAAACAACTATAGCTTAATGCAACAATTTTGGTATATAAATCAGGCCTCTGAAGTTTAACAGCTCAATGTTCTGCCATTCACAGCTTGCATGAAAAATGTTTCATTTTTTTTTTTTTATTCTTTATTTTCCATGCAGAGAAAAAGCAATACATCGAGACAAGCAATGCCACGATAGCTATTGCCAGCCAACTGATCAACGGGTAGACAAAGTTATGGCATCTAATTACATTGCACATTTTTTAGTATAATATGTTGTGAGACTAACTATGCATAACAAGGGTAAACAGTAATATTAGCGTGGTTCACAGATCTGTGTCATAGTTGGATACAGTAGAGGTTAATGTCAGGTTAAAACTTTGCGTTGATATATTGACCTTACTGCTCCTGTGTTTTAGTGAAACATACTTGTACCAAGCCAGTAGGTGGAATCCTGCTATGTCGTGTCAAGCCAAGACTGGCTGTAGGAGTCATAGAGTAGGCTGGGAGTAGTAACTTTAACCAGGTGTTGCTGTGTAGGTGTGGAATTCATGTGTAGCTCTCTAATTGCTGGATTGTACAGCAAGTTTAGGTTAAATGTGGAAGGTTACAGAATTAAAACAAGCAGTAGAAGCGTGAAACTCGATTTAAGTCGAGTACAGTGTTGCCCAGCCTGCCGGTACCAGTGCATGTGTTTTCAGTGTAGGACCCAACTCTTGTGAGTCAGGGGAATCTAGAGTGAACAGAGACAGGTATAGCGAACTAAAAATACACTGACAGGCTATACATACTGCCTAGGACCTTGTGGCTTTGGGATAATATTGCAGGGTTATACAAGGTACAGGTAATAGGTTGTAGGCTAGTTGCCCCCTGTAGATTGAGTGTAGCTTATAGCTATATGGACACGGAGCATATTATGCATTACCATGAGACATGGAACCGCTGCATCCCCACCCTCTGTGTACGGTTGCCCAGCTTAGTATTACTTTCGTGGCACAGAGAAATGTGGTTGCAGTGAGTATTGTTTCTAAGCATATGGTGAGTGGGTGATTGTAGGGGCGATGGGATGGCAGTGGAGCGAGCATGGTGTATGTCGGTTTTCCTGTGTAGCTAGGTAGGAGTTACCATGTCTACTAGTATCTTTTGCCAAGTGTTGGCTGACATATCTGTGGTGTGTCCGCTAGTTAGGGAGGGCGTTGTAGGGGATGAAAGTGGGGTGCGATCCCTACAACAGTAGAGTGAGGTTGTCCTAACCGTGAGTAACAGAGGTCAGTAAAAACCATGGGTGGTGTGCTGTAAACAATAAACATGAAACAATAAACATGAAATAATAAACATGAAATAATAAACATGAAATAATAAACATGAAATAATAAACATGCAGTCTCGGCCCGTGGGTCGTTTGAGTCACCCTTCAAGTAGTAACAGCTGCATAGGAGTCAGGTGTTCTTCCTTGGGGGATGAAAGTGGTGGTTCTTGCTGGATCCCAGGTGTGGGTTGGGGGGTGGGTGTTATGTACCCCCTGTTGTGTCAACGAGTCCATGGACAGGCCCATATGCCGCAGTAGGGTTGCTGAGCTTGGGAGGTCTTGAATGTAGTACGTTTCGCTTCCTTGCTTGACCGTTAACTTGTGGGAGTGGTGCCAGCAGTATTGAGTCCCATGGTGTTGGAGTAGGGAGGTGAGTGGTCGGAGCGATCGCCTCCATGCCAGCGTGCCACTCGATAGGTCGGCGTAAAATGATATCGCCATGTTTTCAAAGTGGAGGGGGGATTTATCCCGTAGTGATGTGAGGACCGCTGCTTTGTCATTACCATTTTGAAAGGTAATTATCAAGTCCCTGGGGGCTGTGGCTGGCGCTTTGTTGGGTTTAGGGAGTCGGAAGAATCTGTCCAGTGTGATGGCTTTCTCCTGTCTCGGTGGCAGCAGGGCCGCCAGCATGCGTCTCAGAAAGTGTGGCATTTCCTGCTCACAGATGACGTCGGAGACTCCTCTGAGTTTGAGGTTGTTTCATCTCCGTGTGTACTCTAGGGCCTTAAAGCGGCGTTCATGTAGCAGGGTCTGCTGCTGCAGGTCTTGTACGGTTTGGTGGAGCTTAGCAATTTGTTGGGTACTAGTGTGGGAAGTTCCCTCTAGGGCCCCTATACGGCCCGTCAGCCCCTGCAGGTCGGTGCGAACTGCCGTGATGTCCGCCAGGATGTTTCTTTGTAAGTCTGCCAGCAGTTTCTTGAGAACCGCTGTGGTCGCAAGTGAGGAGTCAGACCCTGCTTTAGTGTGTTGTGGCGCTTGTGAGGGAGCCGGTGTGGGCATAGGTAAGTAATCTTCATCAACGTCGTCAGACAGCCCATCCGAGAAGTTTGAGCAGCCGCTGGAAAGCGCGGCCATGTTGGGCCCCCTGGCGCCATGCGCTTGCCTCCACATGTCCCCAATAGTGAGTCCCGGTGCGGGTTTGTCCGTTGTAGGTCGCTTGGATTTGCGCCCCATGTTTCCGGGTCGACCCAGTGAGCTCTTATGGTCAGGTTTCGGAGGTAAGTGTTTCGTATTTTAGGCTTTATGGCTGCTGTGAGCACGGAGCTACAGGCTTGTGCGTCCATTCACCTCCGTGGTCAGGCTCCGCCCCAAAATGTTTCATTTTTAAAGCACAGTGTGTTTACTTTAAAAGTTTTTGTCTCCTGCTCTGTTTGGTGATGTTAAATCATGATGTACGCTCTAGGAGGCAATTAACAGAGCAGAGATAAGAAACGATACACTAAACACATTCTGCAATAATGGTAGCTAAAACTGTGAGCTTTTGTTTTGGATGTGTGTAGCATGATTTGTATTTAGCTCCTAAATATTGGATGATTTACTAGAGAGACTACAGGGATGTGATCCACTATACCTCAGCGACTAGAGAAGGTTGTTAGCAAGACGCCAATTGGGTGTCCCGTCACATGATCTATACACCAAAACTATATTGAAAAAAAGAATTACAAATCTTTCTTTTAAAAAAGGATCCAAAGTCAAAGAGTATGGGTAACGATTCTCAAAAAAGGTTAAATTACCCACATATAACATGTATAACCCAATATAATTGGTAAGGAACAACAAAATATAAACCCTATTAATATAATTAAAAGGCAAATCTACATATTAGTGAAAAATAAAAATAAAGTGAAAAACACAAAAGTGATTTGTGAAAGTGTAATGTTAAAAAGTAGAACCCTAGGGGGTCTGCCTATCAGTAGTGATGTCCCGAACGGTTCGCCGAATGGTTCGCGAACGGTTCGCCACGAACAGTTCGTCACGAACGGTTCGCCACGGACTCATCATTGAGTAAACTTTAACCCTGTACCTCACAGTCAGTAGACACATTCCAGCCAATCAGCAGCAGACCCTCCCTCCCAGACCCTCCCACCTCCTGGACAGCTCACTAAGAATGCAGCTTCAAAATGGATGCTGTCCAGGAGGTGGGAGGGTCTGGGAGGGAGGGTCTGCTGCTGATTGGCTGGAATGTGAGTCCGTGGCGAACCGTTTGTGGCGTACCGTTCGCAAACCATTAGGCGAACCGTTCGGGACATCACTACCTATCAGGCTTATATATATCAATCAAAGCAAGCGTTATAAAGTTAAAGGGACACTCCAGGCACCCAGACCACTTCTGCCCATTGAAATGGTCTGGAGCCAACTCCCATCATCCTTAACTCTGCAAGTGTATTTATTGCAGTTTTTAAAAACTGCAATAATTACCTTGCAGGATTAAGTCCTCCTCTAGTGGCTGCCTAGCAGTGTTTTAAACAACGCTGGATGTACTCACGCTATGCAGGAGGACTTGCAGCATCGCCGGAATCCCCATAGGAAAGCATCGAATAATGCTTTCCTATGGGGAGGTCTAATGTACACGCGCGGCCATTGCCGTGCATGCGCATTAGGTCTCCCCCGCCGGCTGATGGGGAAGGAGCGTGGGCGGAGCCTGACCCCGCGCAGAGGGACAACGGTACTGGATTCAGATAAGACACTGAATGGGTTTTAACCCCTTCAGCAACATGGGATGGGGGGTGGGAGGGAGAGGGGCACTGCAGGAACCTGCAGTGTCAGGAAAACATTGTTTAGTAGATATACCCCAATGAACACATGCATGAATTTTCAAATAGGCAAATAGTCTTGGGTGAGTCCTACACTACCAATTAACCTTGCTTCTTTAAGCTGAAAAATGACCAAAAGGGGTAATTTTGTAAACCCCTATACACTTATTAACCCTTAATAAGCAACACATTGGGAACACTTGGTTGTGTAATACAAAAGCAAATACAAACATACATAATTAAGCCCTGCATTCAAATTCCTACTACTCCTGGGCAGCAGTAATGACTATAGCACACATCAGTCCTAATACAGTACAAAAAAGGTGTAAAAAGCAATAAAACACCACACTTGCATTCTCTGCAACTGACTTTCTTTTTGACAGATTGATTGTGGAGAGAATGCCTGCTTGCGGTCAAAGGCTGAAAGCTGGTTTGTGTCTGAAGCAGGGTTGGTGCTACTGATCTGTGAACATGACATGCCTGATAATATTGCATTTCCATAGCAACAGCAAACAAGGGGCAAAATTCTATTAGCTAGAGTGACTCAGTAAGTCAAACAGATAATGTGATGGGCCTGGCTAGCTGCCCGAAACAGGCTTATGTGAAACTCATGATGATTTAACTTCAGTATGCCATTTTATTTTACTAAATTTTGTCTTATTCATTTAAAATGACAAAATATATCATACAAATAGGCATGTGTTAACTTCTCAGAGTGCAAGTTAACTGTGTTTTGTTTAAGCAAAACCTGTATCTAGAATGCTCTGCAAAGCTACGTCTTGGCCAATACTGTCAGTCACAGAAGAAAAAAAGTAAAAACCAGGTGTGTTCCTGTCAAATAATTTAAAACACTACAAAGTCAAATAAAATGTCCTTTAGCCCCTTAAGGACCGCTGACGTATGAAGTACGTCCTTCAAAAAATGGTCCTTAAGACCGCAGACGTACCTCATACATCCGCGGCTAATTTGAGCATTGGAAGCTATTGTGATCGCTTCCAGATGCTCTATGGATATTGCACGATGCCTTGATGTCGAGGCATCATGGAATAACCTCCTCACTGTCGGCCACCCGAGTGATCGCTCCGCCCCTCAGGCAGGCTTTCAATGCTCTGTCTGTACTAAGTACGAGGGGTCGAGGCACTCAGTAAAATAAATTAAAAAAATTAATTAAAAAAAATTAATCTAAAAGAGTGGCCACATGTGCTGCCAGCAGGGGGACTGCCTGAACTAACAGGCAGCCCCCCTGCTGGTGGAAAAAGTAAAAAAAAAAAGTTTAAAAAATAAAAATAAAGTTAATAAATTTAAAAAAAGATATATGTGTAAATGAGATAGATAGATTATATATATATATATATATATATATATAAAGACCATTTCTAACTGTTGGTAGAATTAGTGTATGGAAAGTGTTAAAATATCACCATTTGAAATACCCTAGGGTGTCTACTTTTCAAAATTATATTGGCCAGCTTCAAAAATGTCCCAAATAGGACATGGGTGAAAATTCCAAGTTGGAAAACTGGAATGCGCACCCTCCAAATAAGATCTGGACACACCTATACATGGGGGGTATCACTGTACTCAGGAGATATTTCTGGGGTTGATATTTCTGGGGTTCTTTTATTGGGGTGTTATTTGCTAGTAACTCTTAAAGTTCTCAGTACATGTATTCTTAAATAGTATCACCAATTATTTAATTTTTTTTAAAATTTGCCATGGATTGGGGGTAAAATGATTGCATGAAAAGAGCATGCAAAGAGTCCAAATACCCCAAGTGTAATACCTTAGGTTGTCTTGTTTTAAAAAAATATATACATGTGAAGGGTTATTCAGGGATTCCTGACAAATATCAGTGTTAAAATGTAACTTTCCTTAATTTTGAAAAAAAAAAATGGTTTGGAAATAGCTAAGTGCTACTTGTACTTATTGCCCTATAACTTTCCAAAAAAAGCTAAGAGCATGTTAACACTGAGTATTTCTAAACTCAGGATAAAATTTAGAAACTATTTAGCATGGGTGTTTTTTGGGGATTGTACATGCGTAACAGATTTTGGGGGTGAAAGTTCAAAAAAGTGTGTTTTTTTTACATTTGTTTATAATATTTTATAATTTCTTTTATAGTAAATTATATGATATGATGAAAATAATGGTATCTTTAGAAATACTGTTTAATGGCGAGAAAAACGGTATATAATATGTGTGGGTACAGTAAATGAGTAAGAGAAAAATTACAGCTAAACACAAACACCGCAGAAATGTAAAAACAGCCCTGTGTCAAGGATCTTACCTGGAGTGGGAGTCCGGCACGCAGAGTTAAAGCACCCTTTGCAATTCGACACAGGCCAAGGGGACTCAGGACAGAAATCCCCAAGGTTGTGACACAGTGCACTGGGGCTGAAATAACCAGTGCTTCCTGGAACGCAGTACAGACAAAGGATATCCAGAAGAGTAGTCAGTATCAGAATCAGAAGTCGGGACAGGCGGCAATCAGGCAAAAACGGTAGACGAGCAGGGGATCAAAACCAGGAGTCAGAAGAATAGCAGTGAAACCAAACAGGAACAGGAAACACGATCTGACAACGAGAACCAGCCTTGCGGGGTTTAAATAGGAAGTCTCAGCCAATCATCCAGGAACCAGGAACAGGTGTGCACATTCCAGGCGTACAGGCTCAGACTACAGGATACCAAGAACAACCAGAAACAGTCAAAGATGCGTGGAGCTCAATGCAAGGATACCGACTGGGATGCAGGAAACTCAGGTTTGATCCCAGCCAGACCCAAATACACAATATTGTGTAAAGCACAATGGTGATCCTGACATTACCCCCCCTTCAAAGACGCCGTAGGCGAGAAGAGGAACGCAACTTACGACCCAGGAGGTTACTTTTTGGATTTCTTGGCTTTGGTGGTACTAGTAGGAGCAGAGGTCATAGCTTGTAGGGCCTTTTCAAATACTTGCAAGTCCTCCTTCCGGACTAGAGTCCCATTAGAGGCATAGGTACAGCCAGAAAGAGGGTCTTCCTTGACAGGACTTGTAGTGGTTGTGGTGCTTGCCTTCTTAGAAGCAGAATCTTTAGTAGAAATAGAGATCTCAGGTTCTTTAGTAACAGATTCCTGCACAACCTCAGGAGCAACGACTGTAGAAGGCTGAGGATTGGACAGAGTGGTCAAGCAAGGACAGGCAGCATGTTGGCAGACAGGTCTCATAGGATATGCCAGAGTAGTACCCAGACGGAGAACCCGAGGCCTAGATGGACGAATGGGACAAAAAGATATTAAATGTCCCATCTCCCCACAATAATAACACAGTCCATGCGCCATCCTTCTTGCCCTTTCTTGAGATGACTGACGGAACCTAACCAGTCCAATCTCCATGGGTTCCTCCGCCTCCCTGCCAGATGTATACGATGTTTCGGGAGACTTGGGAGCGGTAGGGTTAGCTTTAACATCAGTCCGAGTGAAAGGAGTAGTGTAGTCCATTTCCAGTCCGGGTTGCAATATGTGTGAAGCAACAGTAGGTGATCTATGTACATATGACTTTTGTGTCTTGTTGACTTGTAAACCCAGGGACCGAATAAAGGACTCCCAGGAATCTAGGACTGGGCTTTTGGCGAGTAACAACTGGTGGGCCCAGATCTTAAGGTGCCCCGACAATAAGGTAATCGCTGTCCTCACTTTAATGACGTCTGTGGCATAGGTAAGTGGTCTCAGGGAGAACAGGACCTCGCAATCAACTTTGAAGGTATCATACTTAGACCGGATCCCAGAAAATTTCTCGGGTAGAGCAACCAGCGGTTCAGAGAGTCCAGAGTCATAGGTTACTCTCCCTTTAAGGGAAGCCAGCTCCTGCTGTAAGCCCTGCAAAGCCTGGGTGAGCTGGGAAACTTGCTGGGTCAAGGCTGCAACGGTAATCTTCAACTCTGCAGACTCCATTTGGTCAGATCGTACTGTCAAGGATCTTACCTGAAGTGGGAGTCCGGCACGCAGAGTTAAAGCACCCTTTGCAATTCGACACAGGCCAAGGGGACTCAGGACAGAAATCCCCAAGGTTGTGACACAGTGCACTGGGGCTGAAATAACCAGTGCTTCCTGGAACGCAGTACAGACAAAGGATATCCAGAAGAGTAGTCAGTATCAGAATCAGAAGTCGGGACAGGCGGCAATCAGGCAAAAACGGTAGACGAGCAGGGGATCAAAACCAGGAGTCAGAAGAATAGCAGTGAAACCAAACAGGAACAGGAAACACGATCTGACAACGAGAACCAGCCTTGCGGGGTTTAAATAGGAAGTCTCAGCCAATCATCCAGGAACCAGGAACAGGTGTGCACATTCCAGGCGTACAGGCTCAGACTACAGGATACCAAGAACAACCAGAAACAGTCAAAGATGCGTGGAGCTCAATGCAAGGATACCGACTGGGATGCAGGAAACTCAGG